CCGGTAGGTCGGACCTCGGCCAGGTTCACCTCGGCTCTCATACTTAGCATCAGTCAACGCCAGTGGTGGTAATCTCGGTCGTCCGAGCCGGGCATGACTCATGAGTCATCTTGGAGCACCAATAGGGGTCCTCCATGTGTCCAGGGTATTCTCTTCCCCAAACAGGTGGTCTGGTCATGGTGGTAGGTAAAGAAAACTCGAGCACTGCAGAGCAAGGGTAGTCAAGTATAACAAGTGACTCATTCTTGGTTTCGAAGTTATGTTACTTGCTTTTTCGGATTTGTAATGTTTTCATTTCATCAATTTCAACAGAATCAATTTGCTATTTTCCTACTCATTTGCTCCTTCGGTTATTATATATTTTGTTTTAGAAGTTACCTTTACTATTCAGTTTATTTTGCAATTTGTGCTTCTAAAATTTCTGTTATCTAGTACGTACGTGCTCCCTACCACTATTAAACACAGTAATTAGAATTCATTGACACTAATTATATAAAGAAATACATCGTCCATGTTCAAATTACAAATTTGGTCTAAATCATATACCAGTTTCTGGTAACCATTTGGCTCCACAATGAAGTTTTTACAGTAAATTGAGCGGCCTCACATGGTAACCTTGCCATGTGACTCTTTTAGATACATCAGCTCCTGGGCCGTTGCTCTTAAACTCAACGTAGAACAACAAGTTTACAAGTTTTCACGGTCATTCATACCAACCCCTTGGATTAACCACGGAGTCCATAAACGACTCCATGAAAATCACCGTTAAATAATCTCTCCAAATTCAGGCAAGGTAAATGTCGAAATTATGATGATCTTCTCTTGGCCCGAGTTCTGGAGAGGCCATTAGGCTACAGTTCTGGGAGAACCCATTATTTTGGCCTGAAAAATATTTAGATTGGGCAGTGATGGTAATTGTAGTATTCAATAATCTTGCAATCTTGAAATACAGCTTTTGTCTACCACCAAATATAAGACTGTTCCATAAACTTTGCAATCTTTGAAGAATACCTGGTTTTATACAAAAAGTGTATCTTGAAACCCAAGGAAAATGTACACTTGTAATATACCGCTTGATTGGCATTATTAAAAAATGCAACTCCTTGGCCATTTTCAGATCCAGCAGAATTTTCAAAAGTAATGTACTTGGCTAGAAAGTTGTTGGCATTCACAACCAGAAGAAATATCAACAATTTCAGCCTTATTAATATTTGAAAAGAAGCATTACAGTTGTAAAAGAAATATCAACAATTTAAACATTGGTAATATTTAGAAGGAATAAAAGAAGAAATAAGACGAGTGAAAAAATCGTTGGTAGATATAGCTTTCAACTTACTCAATGTTGCAGTTTCGGCAGTTCCGAATCCAGTGCTCTGATTGTCTACGATAATCGTTGTGGAAATATTGTCGCCTATTAGAGCAATAAACTTCTTGGCATATAGTATTTCAATATGCTCATGGTAAATTCTAGAGGTGACACGAATATAAAATCTTGTGTCTCCGTTGTCTGGAGCTGCTATGCCATCACTAATACTTTTGTAAGTTACCAGATCCATCTAAAGCTACTGTAACATTAAAAGTGATGGAATGAACAAGTACTAAAAACAGCGCAAAATAAGCATTCAATAATATGGATGAATAATATCATCTTCTTCAAATAAACTTGGAAAAGTAAATGCAAGAAATTAAGCTAATAAGACGTGGGATGATCAGAAAATAAATTTCTCTCAACTTATTGCAAATGAACAAGGGATCTATCATAACGTTCATTTTATAATGGGGATGAAATTGTCACAACTTCCCAATTCACACTCCAATTGCAATCTTTCTCTATTAAAAAACCACATAATGAAATGGCTTTAATTTCCAAGTAAGAAATTTTATTTCTTTAGAAAAATAACCATAACTATGCAAATAATGATTATTTATTTGGAAACAAGAAAATATGTTTCCTTTTGTCATCAGTATGAGTCACCAACAACCAAATCATTGATCAACATAACTTCATTTTGTGTGAGGAATTTTTGTTTTTTCTTAAAGTCAGTTATCTATTGTAGCATTATTTATCAAGCAAAATATGTTATATAAATATAGTGATTTAATAACAAGCTAAACGTAGAGATACAAATGATAACAACTTAATTAAGGAGTATGAATAGATCTCGACACTTGTTAGACAGATATCGAACACTTTTTAAGCATATAATAGACAATTAACATAAATAGTAATAATATAAGAAAAGATAATAAATTTTGAGTGCAAAATACATCAAACTTATATTTTAAGCATAAAGATGCACAAACTTGGTGACTTTAAATTTCCTTTTGATATAAAAATTACATATACTAAAAACAATATGTGTAGAACCATAAATTTTGGGTCAATCATAAACGTGCATAATAGTGACACATGTCTTTCATTGGGTCCCTGTTGGTTTAACTGTGCATATGAGAATTGGGTCTGGAATCAATTTCATTCACAAATTCATTAGACTGTATTTTGGGCCAAAACCCAAATTACGTAGTGGATTGAAATTTAAATAAGTTTAAATCCATTTAATAAATTTGGTTGGGCGCAAATCACCCTAGCCCAAATCTTTTAAAATTAAAATTGGGCTTGTAACCCAAATAGAGCTCAATCCATAGGTTGAGTCCAAAATCACTCAAGCCCAAAACCCCAGTAAGCGTCTGGAAACCTCTATACATAGAGGGGGTGTCCTTCATTTTCAAAAGTTCAGATTGAAGGAATTCACACCAAATTGAAGACTCTCTGAAGACTTGAAGATTCAAAGAGCAACGTGAAGACTTGAAGTCTTTCGAAGAACAGAGAACTTCGATCTAAATCAAGAACAAACATCACAACCTTCACGTCAAATTCGAGAGAAAGAATCAAAGGATAAAGACTCGAGATTGAATACATTATACAACACGTACAACATAAAAGTTCAATTCTACGAAATATAATTTATTCGGAAATCTCGTGTGAACGGTATGTTTTAATAAATGTGTCATTACCTTATTCATGTCCTAGATTTTTAGAATATGATGCGTCACCGTATCCATATCATTATGTATTTGTGTCTTGTGTTTATATGTGTGCTTTCTTAGACTTACACACATTAGCTCCATCTTAGTTAAATTCTGAACCAAGAGTAAAGGTAGTATACAGCCGGTAATCCACTAGTACGTAAAAAAGGCAGATTTTTTTGGTAGGTTTCTCAAATACTTTATCTCAATGAGATAGTTTTTCTTTAGATAGGAAGAAACATAATAAAATCTGACAAATTTAATAAATAGCGGCCATTTTGAATAATCCAAAACTATATTATTGACGTTTAAAAAGAAAAAAAAATCAACTCTTTTTGCTTAGTAGTTTTTTTTTCTTTATAAATATCTATTAACTTTAACAGCCAAATATGGAATAATGTTACTAGACATTATTAAACTTGATAGTAGATAGAAAATGAGGAAGAAATACGTGAAAACTAAAAAAATTTGAGGAAAATCCTTTTACTTCTCTTTTATTATTATTATTATTATTATTATTATTATTATTATTGCATCACATTTTATTTTTTATTGCATAGTATTATTTTATAAAATATTTTTTCCTATAATATAGATAGTCATGATCGATAACTCTATAAAGAAAAGAAGAAAAAAGGAAACGGAACAATGACCTTAAGCAGTTCTAGAATATTATAGAATCATGTGAGATAAAATGGAAAATAGTATATTATTCTTCAAACTTTCCGAGTAAATATAGTAAACAAACTAACAATCATCAATGAAGTGTGGTACCTCTTTTACTAAACTTAGAAAAAAAATAACAATAATGAGTTGAATTCCTGCCTAATCAATAAATTAGAAACATTTTCAAATCATTGATGACCTTTTTCCGGTTTAATTTACTTGAGTCATTTAAACACAATATAGAAACACGATTTTACAATTATTGAATAATCTTGATAAAATAAAATTCTATAATTAGGATCATAGAGTGGAGTAAAAAGTGGGTAAATATGTAAAGAAAATAAAGAGAAATGGTATAATTTTTACTTAAGTTAATTATTGAGATTTTATATATAAGAGGAGGGTAGGATTGGAACTACACCAATTATCAGCTCTCTTATTTTTTGGTTTCTACAAGGAGTTCACCCATCAACTTAAATGAGATAAATAGATTTAATAATAATAAAATAAATGTCACAGTCTCTCCCCCTAATCTCCCGTGGAAGGCACATCTCCAACTACTACTGAGGTGATAGAGATTCTCTGACAAAGGGTCGAGCATCCGAAGGGACCCTCGTCGTCACGGAGGCCAAGTTTTAACTGAAGAATTGATACGGTTGGCCGCCGTGAAGCGGGTCGATCGTTATCGCGAATGGTATTTGAAATTGTTGAAGTCTGTCGACACCATAGAGGAGCTAATGGTTTGCTGTGAGAGAGAAATTAGAGGCCCAACCCCACGTGCGAGTGCCTAAGGTCATACTTTTGGCCTCTTTTTCATCCTTTTCATTTCTTTTTTTCATTTATTATTATACTCTTTTTTGTGTGTTGCATGGTGTCTCAACCCTACTCTAAGAGAGTGGGTTGAGATCCTCACCAAGTGTGCAAGCTTCCACAAGTATATGTTGTTGGAATTAATTTAAAAATTAATTCATATGTGGGTAACAAATTAAAAAGCAATTATATTTGAGCTATTTAATGGACATACAAGTGATATTAATTATGGGTCCATGACTTCCCATTTAGTGATGTGGCTTGYTGAGTAGAAATCAGCCCATTAATTCTAGGGGATTATGGGAAACCCTAGAATTAACCTATAAATATATGGTTATGGTCACCAATATACTATACTTCTTGAGCCTCCTGTTCCCCATCAAACAAAGTATTGCCCATATTTGGTCTGGGTTGCATAGTTGAGGAAGACCACAAACCACAACTTCTTGCAGATCATGGTCAATCTATCTAATGGTTTCAGGTAATTATAATCCTTTATAAATTTTGGTTTTCTTCCATGCTTAGATCCTTGGTCTTGATTGTTCTGGAATTTTATGGCTTTTATTTTAGAATAATCATGAATTAGGGTTTATTTAAATTTTTCCAACAAGTGGTATCAGAGCAAATTTTGCATAGATGATTACTGGATCTTTAAGAGTTAAGTTCATTGTTCTTTTAATAACTTATTTATTTAAACAAAAAGTTATTAAAATTATTTGGATTGATAAGATGTTTGAACAATTTTCACATGATTAAAATTCTTAATTGATTGAAAATTGTTCGAATTTATCCCTGACTAATTTGATAAAGTTTAATTTTTTTTATTAACAAATTAGTTGTGATGGTGAATCTTTAGTTTTCATTAAAAGAAAAATTAAAGAAATTGCGGCACTCTAATAAGGTGTCGTTTGAAGATAACGACTGGTGCATGGAGATAATGCCCTAGCACCAACTATTTTTAAATGTTGCAGTGCGCAAACTTACAGATGTTCTTTTTTTTGTGGCTATTTATTTAATTTTTAATAATTATTTATTTAGTTATCAATTTATATTCTGGGTGAATTTAAATATGGAGGTTGATTTAATTTTACTTTTATGTTGTGCTAATTAAAGATTGTTGATTATGGTGAATAAATTAACAATTTAATCAATACTTTGCACAATTTTTAGATTTCTATGAATGTTTTGATTTAGAAATATTATTGTTAATTGTTGAAAATAACTTAGGTATTTTATTTTCATATGGAAACAATTAAGAATAATTAAGTAATAATTTTGTGAGATTTGAGTATTGTTGTTTATGCAAATTGTGATCAGCCCAAAGGAAGGTCACAATTTGGCCAAATAACAAATACACTTACAATTATGGAATTAATTATTGATATTAGATTATTGTGCTACAATTAGTGCTCCATAGCCTATGTTGAATTGTTGATGAGTTATAATATCAATAATATTCCTTTTGGAAAAATTCAGTTTTTATTTGTGGATTTAATAAATTGTTTAGAGGACTTTTCCCATTATTAAATTATGCATATAAAGATATTATAATAAACTTTGAAAATAATTTTGGTAGTTTTATTTTCATAAAGATAAAATTAATAATAATTAAAGTTATATATGTTGCATAATTGTCTGATCCTTTTGGTTAGTGTTAATTTGATGAATCATGCTACCAAAGTAGCCTTTGATTTCTGATATTGATATCTTTCAAAATTATCAGATGTTTGTGGATCTGTGTATTTATGCACTCTGTAGTCGGCCTAAAGGAAGATTTTAGTTTGGCCAAATAACAGGTCCACATATAGTTAGATGGTGATAAACATGGATAATATAAAGTTATGTCATGTGAGTGATTGCCGGCCCAAAGGAAGGCTTTCACTTGACATGATTGATTATCAGATCACCACATGGAGAGTACCACTTGCAAGTTGATATTGTCGGCCCAAAGGAAGGCTATCAATGTTGTGTTAGGTATCTTGTTGTCCTCATTGAGTTTAATTATAAAGTATTTTTATAAATACTTAAGGTTAATTTCGAGCATGTTTTATTATTGAATTAGTCATTGGTAAATATTATTTAATTGTCTTACTGTGTATTTAAGAATAATTTCTATTCAAGTTTGCATGAATTTTTTATAAAGAAAGGAAACACTTCAACTTTTGCAAATCAATATTCCTCTAAGGTTTAATTGGGATCTTGAAAAGTCGGAGTAACC